TCCTCTTTCTCCTCCTCCTTATGATCTGCCATGAATTTCTTTCTTTCTTTCTTAAATTTATATCCCGCCCTCCCTACCGTGGCAGTCTCAGGGCGGCTAACAACATGAGTATATTTCTGTGAACTTCATTCATGGAGTGCCATGCTCAGGGACCATTTTGATCAGGGGTCATTTCGTAGAAAAAGAGGTGCAGGAGCTCATTAGCATAACTCATTAGCATAACTCATTTGCATATGCCACACCCCCTGACATCACCAGAAGTGTGTCAGAACACAACACCCACCGCTCAGGCCCTACTGGACTGTTTTGGATTGCTAGCTATTGGGGGGGGGGGAAACGTGCCAATCTGTCCTCGCAGAGGAGGGAGAGCTTGTGCCTGAATAAAACTTGGTCTTAAAGGTGCCACTGGACTGTTTTGGGCCGAGGGGGCGGGGAGGAGGGCCTCTGCAGCTTACCTGGCTGCTTCTTGTTCTGACTGAGGGCTGCTGGGAGCAGGGGGTGGGGCTTGTTGCATGTGCCCACCCCCTGGGCTCTTTACTTCCAGAGCTCCGCTCCTGTGCGCTCCTGCAGGAAATGACCCCTGATTTTGATAGTATTTGGGGTATGTTCTATGCATATTTTAAGCATATTTAACACATGCACATTTAACACATGACCCAAGCATCCATCTAGCTCCAAATGCGGACTCCAGTTCATAATATATCCCCACCCCTCTAAAAAAAAAAAGATCGAGGGCACAGACAGAAAATGGGTAAGGACGATATTCACGCAGTTCTGTCCTGCAACATGCGCTGTTCAGATTGGAATGAATTGCGTCCAGGGCGGAATCTGGATACATGCCTCAAATCCCGTCTGCCACCTTGTCATGAAGTTCTGTGTTGTGTGGAGAACATCGTTGATGCTCCAGCCCACTCAGTTTCCTCACTTCTGTGGCGTTCAGGAAACATCACTGTTTGCATTGCTGTTTATCAGAGTTTGATGCTGTCTTTCAAAGTGTTGCACATCACCCATAAAACTTATTTTAAAAATATACAGCTCAGCTAAAAACAATAATGACAACTCATGAAGTAAAACATTCTGACCAAAAGGGGAGGGGAGAAGCCCAAATGTCTTAAAAACAAAACAAAACAGCAACAGCAGAACAAAATTATAGGTTGAAAAAAGAGGAAATCCCCCATGCATTTGTGTCAAATGAGCAGCCCATGGGAATTGGTGTTCAAGGTCTCTGGGGCAGTGCCTGAGAAGGCCCTGCTTTCTTTTAGTAGAGGACTCTGGATGAGTTGGAACTTGAAGCAGAGCCTTCTTTGCTGCTGGTAGCAGACTCTGAAGCGGTTCACCTGCTGGGCATCTAAAGCCTGAAGGTCCAAGCCATTAATGCCTTTAGAAACCAAAGCCAGCATCTTTCAAACACATATTACTGGTTCATGTATTTCATTTATACCCTTCCTTTCTCCCCAGTGGGGACACCCAAAGCAGCTTTCCTCTTTCTCACTGCCCCCATTTTATCCTCATAACAGCCCTGCGAGGTAGGTTAGGGTGGGAGTGTGCAAGGGGCCCAAAGACACCCAGCTCCCACGGCAGAGGGGGGATTCAGACCTGGATCTCACAGGTGCTGGTCCAACACTCTAGTGTTCCAGGCTTCTGGTGTTCTTATAACATAAACGAGTTTTAGCCTTTCGGGTTCCTTTCAGTCTCTTAGGGGCCAAATGGTCAATGTTTGTGTTTTTATATAGGGTTTTTTTTAAAAAACAAACCAGTGAATGATCAACTTCACACTAATTCTGATGGGTAGTAACTAATGTTATTGCTTCAGTCAGGCTGAAATATCATACCCCCCCCCCCCAATGCCCCTATTTACTAGTTACAAGTTACTGATTTCTGGATCTTTCCCTCCTAAATCCCTGTCCCTATTTTTGCTTTTGTTAAAATATTGGTGCGTTGATCTAGTTGTTGTTCTTCGGATCCTTCCCCCTCCCAGGTCTCTATTGAATCTCTGAGTGGGGGAGTGGATCTGCCTCATCTCTAGAGCATATGCATGTGAATGCATGCTTGTGAATGTTAATGCGCACGCAGATAGATTCAGGGGGGCAGCCCTGTTGGTCTGATGCAAACAGTAGAATGGAAGTTTGAGTCCAGAGGCACTTTTAAGACCAACAAAGTTTAATTCTGGATAGAAGCTTCCTTGTGCACGCAGATAAATTCAGGTGGGCAGCCCTGTTGATCTGAAGCAATAGAATGGAAGTTTTGAGTCCAGTGGCACCTTTAAGGCCAACAAAGTTTGATTCTGGATAGAAGCTTTCTTGTGCATGCACACTTCATTGAAACATTGACTTTCTCAAGCCTTACTAATGGGGGGTGGGGGTGTTAGTTGCCAGGAAGAGATAATTAGGGTCAGGGATCCATAAGTAACTGAGCAATAAGTATAACTAAGATGGATTAAAGCAGTTGGTAAGACCTGTGAATAGCAGCAAATTAGCATACAAATAAAAGAGTTAACAGATGTGAAAACTAACTCTGAGTCCAGTGGCACCTTTAAGACCAACAAAGTTTAATTCTGGATAGAAGCTTTCTTGTGCATTCACACTTCATTGAAACATTGACTTCCTCAAGCCTTACTAATGGAGGGGGGGTGTTAGTTGCCAGGAAGAGATAATTAGGGTCAGGGATCCATAAGTAACTGAGCAATAAGTATAACTAAGATGGATTAAAGCAGTTGGTAAGACCTACGGGGAGGGCGGGATAAAAATCTAAATAATAAATAAATAAATAAATTAGCATACAAATAAAAGAGTTAACAGATGTGAAAACTAACTCTGAGGCCAGAGGTACCTTTAAGACCATCAAAGTTTAATTCTGGGTGTAAGCTTTTGTGTGCAGGCACACTTCTTCAAACACATTGAAACAGACTTCTTCATGCCTTACATATAGGTAGAGGGGAGGGGTTAGTTGCCAGGAAGGGCTAATTAGAGTCAGGATGCATAAGTAACTGAGCAATAAGCGAAGATTGGAGTAACGCAGTTGGTAAGATCTGTGGATAGCTGCAAATTAGCATACAGATAATAAAAGAGTAAACAGCAGATGTGAGAACTAAGTTTGGAGTCCAGTGGCACCTGTAAGACCAACAAAGTTTAATCCTGGGTATAAGCGAGAACTGAGTGACTTAGCATGTGTAGTGAGATAAAAACCTGATATCTCGATTAAGCCCTGGGGTTACATTGTCCCATCCCGGTCTGTTTCTGAAATTCCTGTGCAATAAAACAGCTACTTTGAGGTCCCCAGTGAGTGCCCTAGGAGGTTGAAATGTTCTCCTACAGGATTCTCAATTTTGTGATTCTTGATGTCAGATTATGCTGATGAGCCTCATCTTGAACCATGGAGAGGAACAGATTTTAGATGCCCCTGGATCTTCTTAGGTCCAATCTGCAATGCTGAAAGCTCCAATAGAGTTCTCAGATACAACTAGAAAAGAATTAGCCGACTAGATACAACTAGAGAAGAATCTGTGTATGATCAGCGTTATGTATATATTTGTAAAATTAATGGAGTGTCACTGTTTATGCCAATAAAGGTATTGTATTTGTATTTGAGTGCCCACTGACAAAGGCTTATGGCTGAAACCTGTTTGGTATTGGTTTTTACATATGGAGACATTACGTACCTTTTAACCAGTATTGATATGAATGGACATTTGTCTTTATACTGGGATCAGGTACTTATATGCTTAACCGGAAGACGGTTGTTGAAAAATGATATTTTAGTATTTGTGATTGTGTTATTAAATTATATATATTATACATCAGGGGCAGGGCTATTTTTGGGCAGGAACGCACAGGAACAGAGTCAACAGAATAACAAGCAAAAGGTGGGTGTGGCTGGATGACTACACTTCTGTTAACATGGGGGTGCGGCCTAATGGGCTAATGAGCTGTGCGGTCAGGGTTGTGGCCTAATATGCTAATGAGTTTCTGCTGCTGGGTGTGGCCTGTTATGCTAATGAGTTCCTGCTGGGCTTTTTCTACAAAAAGAGCCCTGAAGGGGTGTCGAACTCATTTGTTACAAGGGCTGGATCTGGCATAAATAGGACTTTGTGGGGCGAATAACCCATCCTCCGTCCAGCTCCCACTGCCGGCTACTTCGTGGACAGGGGGTAGGAGGGCAGAATATATGTAGACAACAGGGAATGGGAAGGGTGCCAGCCAAGATGGAGCCGTCGCTGACCTCAACCAAAAGCCTGGCGGAACATCTCTGCCTTGCAGACCCTGCAGAATTGCATCCGATCTCACAGAGCCCTGGTGGAATTTGGCAGAGAGTTCCACCAGGTTGGGGCCAGGACAGAAAAGGCCCTGCCCTGGCCAGCTGGATGACTTTAGGGCCGGGGATCACCAGTAGATTGCTGTCTGAGGAGCGCAAGGCTCTCCTGGGACATAATGGAGTTGCTTCTGCATTGTCCGTTTGGAACGTTCGTATTCCTCCTCTGTCTCGTTTGCTCTTCCTTGAAGCCAGGGCTATTTTTGGGCAGGAACGCACAGGAACAGAGTTCCGGCTGGCTCCCGAGTTGGCCACGTCCAGCAGAAACCCATTAGCATAATAGACCACACCCAACAGCAGACACTAATTAGGATTGGCTACATTAGGGGTGTGTGGCCGAACATGCAAAGGAGTTCCTGCTACAAAAAAAAGCCCTGGGTTTTGACAACAAACAAGGTAAACAGAATATGAAGCAAATGGTGGGTGTGGCTGGATGAGCACAGTTCTGGTAATGTGGGTGTGGCCTAATATGCCAATGAGCTGTGCTGTCAGGGGTGTGGCCTAATATGCTAATGAGTTTCTGCTGTTGGGTGTGGTCTATTATGCTAATGAGTTCCTGCTGGGCTTTTTCTACAAAAAAAGCCCTGCTTGAAGCTAAGCCTACGGTTGCCAAAAGGTATACCAAGTCTCATCTCCCCCCACTCCCAGCCCCACTGAGCTGTGGCTCACGTTTCCTTTTCTGTTTCTTTCAGGGAGGACTCGTTTTCCCTTGGCGCAGGAGGACTGGCCATCGGGAGGATGGACCCGTTGGCTCTGCTGTGGCTGCTCTTTACCGCCTGTGGCCTTGACCGAGCTCGGGCCGTGAACCCCTTTGCGGTGCAGCAGAGTCCGCCGGACCCTTGCTATGACGAGAAAGGGGCTCCCCGACGCTGCATCCCGGAGTTTGTCAACGCTGCCTTTGGAAAGGAAGTCCACGCCTCCAGCACGTGCGGGAAGCCCCCCACCCGCCACTGTGACGCTTCGGACCCCCGCAAAGCACACCCGGCCTCCTACCTCACCGACCTCAACAACGTGGCCAACATGACCTGCTGGCGCTCCGAGACCTTGCACCACTCGCCCCAGAACGTCACCATCACCCTCTCCCTGGGCAAGAAGTTCGAGGTGATCTACGTGAGCCTCCAGTTCTGCTCCCCCCGCCCCGAATCGGCGGCCGTCTTCAAGTCCATGGATTACGGCAAGACCTGGGTGCCCTACCAGTATTACTCCTCCCAGTGCCGTAAGATCTACGGCAAATCGAACAAGGCCGCCGTCACCAAGCAGAACGAACAGGAAGCTTTGTGCACGGACGGCCACACGGACCTGTACCCGTTGACGGGAGGACTGATTGCCTTCAGTACCCTGGAAGGGCGTCCCTCCGGCCAGGATTTTGACAACAGCCCTGTCCTTCAGGACTGGGTGACGGCCACCGACATCAGAGTCATTTTCAGCCGTCCCCATTTGTTCCGGGAGCTGGGAGGCCGGGACCATGAGGACGAGGAGGGTGGGATGAGCTCGTCTTCTTCGTACTACTATGCAGTGGGGGAGTTCCAGGTGGGGGGGCGTTGCAAGTGTAACGGCCACGCGTCGCGCTGCGTGAAAGACAAAGAGGGCAAGCTGGTGTGTGACTGCAAACACAACACCGAAGGGCCTGAGTGTGACAGATGCAAACCCTTCCATTATGATCGTCCGTGGCAGAGGGCCACAGCCCGGGAGGCCAACGAATGCTTAGGTAGGAGAATGTCCCGTCTTCCCTTTTTGTGATCAGAGAGAACCAGTTTGGGAGACAGGCAGTTTGGTGTAGTGGTTAGGTAGGCAGACTCTAATCTGGGAGAACCGGATTTGATTCCCCACTCCTCCACATGCAGCCAGGTGGGTGACCTTGGGTCAGTCACAAGTTCTCTCAGAGCTGTTCTCTCAAGGGCAGTTCTCGAGAGAGCTCCCTCAGCCCCACCTACCTCACAGGGCGTCTGTTGTGGGGAGGGGAAGGGAAAGGAGATTGTAAGCTGCTCTGAGATTCCTTCGGGTAGTGAAGGGCGGGGTGTAAATCCAGTCTCCTCCTCCTCTTTGTGATCCAGATGCCATTTTCCCCCAAAAGAGCCAGTTGAATGGCATGAACAATCAGAGGAAAGAACATTCCATCTACTTCATTAATGTGTGTGTGTATGTTTGTCTCACACTCATGTACAAGGATAGGCCAAATTATTTTGGTCACCGGGGTTACAGAAACTGATTAGACTAGAATCCACACTTGTGATAGTCCATCAAATATAAGATTATGTTTAGACTAGACTAAAAAATAAGCTGCTATATTTGCCTGGTTGTTCTAATGTTCTTCCATGTTCCCCTCCCCGCTCTCTGATCATAAAGATTTGCAATTTCTTTGTTGAGTGCAAACCCTTTCTACCTGACCTTTGCTTGGTTTGGTGTAGTTTGGTGTAGTGGTTAGGAGCCTGGACTCTAATCTGGGAGAACCGGGTTTTATTCTCCACTCTGCTGGTGTGACCTTGGGTCAGTCACAAGATATTTCAGAGCTATTCTCTCAAGGGCAGTCCTCGAGAGAGCTCTCCCAGCCCCACCTACCTCACAGGGTGTCTGTTGTGGGGAGGGGAAGGGAAAGGAGATTGTAAGCCGCTCCGAGACTCCTTTGGGTAGTGAAGGGCGGGTAGGGTTGCCAAGTGAGAACTGAGACACAGTGGGGGACTCCCAGCTGGCGGCTGGAGCACGCACCGCATCCATGTCGCCCGTAAGTGACGCGGTCACGCCGGGCACGCTGGGGGCGGGGCCACGACCATAGAGTTTTCCCTTGGATGACCGTGGCCCCGCCCCCAGCGTGCCCTGCATGCCCGCATCACTTCTGGGCGACGTGCACGTCGGGGTGGAGTTCCCCCTGGGGCCCGATCCGCCGCCGGCGGGGAACGGGCCTCTGGGGCGGGGGTTTCCCCGCCCCCCGGGGGGACTTGGCAAGCCTAAGGACGGGGTATAAATCCAATCTTCTTCTCTCTTATGTCACTGGCTGCTTCGTCCTGATGGGCAGGTGGAGGCAGGAGGCTTCTGAGTTGGCCAAATGTATCCTTAAGTCACGCCTTCTTCTCTCCCTCAGCCGGCCAATCTTTAGGGAGCTTTCCCTCTTTGCATCTTTGGCCACGTTGGGGGTCAGCTCCTTGGCAGATGGAGCAGAAACGATGAAGGATGACCGGGAGGAGAGAAAAAGAATGGGGGAGGAGGCCTGGGGGGAGAGGGAGGCAGTGTCCCCTTTAAGACGTCCCTGATGGGCCCAGCCGCACAAAGGCAGCTTAGCCGGAGCTGCCGTGTGAAAGTTTTTCCTGTCGGCTCCATCTCCTATTTCTCCCTTTCCTCTCGCGGGCTTTGTGCCTTCTGTGAAAGAGCTCCTCCATCACACGCCTCCAAGGGGCTTAGCGGCTGAAAGCCGGATTAGCTCCCAGAGCGTTCCCCTCTGTGCCTTTCAACCGTGACATCTCGCCGGCCAGCGGGAACAGACGCAGCAATTAGTACCAATTAAAGGGAGAGGGCCCGCCTGGGCAGTCCACACCCCCCCCCTGCACACACAACCTGTCTCCGCCCGGCCTTCTTGTTGTCCTCGCTGCCTGCCTTGTGCCTGCTGAGTCTGTGTCAGGACCATGCCGGGCCCCCTGAAAGGAGCCTGACTTTCCAGGCACCTCTGCTTGCAAACCTGTCCGGCTTCTTCCAGGACGGAGGGTCTCAGGGAGCAGGCTGATCACAGCTGGGTTTGGGAAGCAGAACACGTTAATTTTGCGAGTTCCCATGGATTCGGGAAGAATTTACCCATCCTCTTCCATAGGGCTTTTTTTGTAGAGTTCCTACTCATTAGCATAATAAGCCACACCCAAGAGCAGAAACTCATTAGCATATTAGGCCACACCCCTGATAGCACAGCTCATTAGCCTATTAGGCCATACCCCCGTGTTACCAGAAATGTGGTCATCCAGCCACACCCACCTTTTGCTTCTTATTCTGTTTACCCTGTTTGTTGTCAAAACCCAGGGCCTTTTCTGTAGCAGGGACTCCTTTGCATGTTAGGCCACACACCCCTGATGTAGCCAATTCCAATGAGTTCCTGCTGTTGGGTGTGGCCTGTTATGCTAATGAGCTCCTGCTGGGCGTGGCCAACTCAGGAGCCAGCCGGAACTCCGTTCCTGTGCGTTCCTGCCCAGAAATAGCCCTGCTCTTCCGTGGTCCTTATAGTCAAAGACTAGCCCGCCTGCCTGTGCTCTGGGTAGGTTCTTTGGGCTCCGAGACGTGACATCTGGTATTCATATTTCAGTGTTTGTACTCAAGTTTCCTGCGTGGAGTGTTGCGCCATTGGGGAGGGTGACTTGCAACACATGCGGGATAGGCAACAGAGATAGCATCCTGGCTCCCCTCCCCGGCCCTTGTCTCACACCCCCTGTCTACTTTTGCCTCGGCGTGACCGCACCCGGTTGCGTTGCATCGTCTAGAACTGCTGGACCTGCTCGTGCTGAGGTTTTGCTGTTTTGCACCGTAGCAATGGCATGACTTGTGCTAGGGCATGTCGCTCATTTACATCTCATAAGAACATAAGAACATAAGAGACGCCAATGTTGGATCAGGCCAAAGGCCCATCCAGTCCAACACTCTGTGTCACACAGTGGCCAGAAATACCAGGTGCCATCAGGAGGTCCACCAGTGGGGCCAGGACATTAGAAGCCCTCTCACTGTTGACCCCCCCCCAAGCACCAAGAAGACAGAGCATCACTTGCCCCAGAGCCCCTATCTATACCTTGTGGCTAATAGCCACTGATGGACCTCTGCTCCATATGCCTATCAAATTCCCTTTTGAAGCCGTCCATGCTTGTAGCTGCCACCACTTCCTGTGGCAGTGAATTCCAAGTGTTAATCACTCTTTGGGTGAAGAAGTACTTCCTCTTATCCGTTCTAACCCAACTGCTCAGCAATTTCATGGAGTGCCCACGGGTTCTTGTATTGTGAGAAAGGGAGAAAAGTACCTCTTTCTCTACCTGCTCTTTCCCATGCATAATCTTATAAACCTCAATCATGTCACCCCTCAGTCGTCGTTCCTCCAAGCTAAAGAGCCCCAAGCGCTTTAACCTTTCCGCATAGGGAAAGTGTTCCAACCCTTTTATCATTCGAGTTGCCCTTTTCTGCACTTTTTCCAAAGCTATCATTTCCTTTTTAAGGTGTGGTGACCAGAACTACACACAGTATTCCAGATGAGGTTGCACCATTGATTTATACAGGGGCATGATGATATTGGCTGATCTGTTTTCAATACCCTTCCTAATAATCCCCAGCATAGCATTGGCCTTCTTTATTGCAGTCACACACTGTCTCGACATTTTCAGTGAGTTATCCACTACGACTCCAAGATCTCTCTCTTGATCAGTCTCTGCCAGTTCAGACAGCCTCTCTCTCTCTCTTGCACACATGATCATAGATTTTGACTGCATGTAATTTTGGTTTTCTGGACTTTTGGAAATGGTGTTTGGTTGAGGCTTCTAGTGGAAACAAAAAGCTGCAGAAGTCGGTCTTTTCCTGCATGGTAGCAGAGAGAGAGGGAGAGAGAGGGAGAGAGAGAGAGAGAGTCCCATTTAATCGAAGACTGGTGGGTGGCATGAGTGGATTTTGTATCTGTGTTTTCCCTGAAAAGAAGATGTGTGTGGTTACTAAAGAGCAGGATCTGAAAATATTCAGGGATCCGTATGTTTTGTGGGTTTGGCACAGCTCTTGTTGTGGCTTTGGCACGCTTGGCACAAATGTTTGGTTGTCTGCAACTGAAATTTTTTTGGTGGAGGGGGGGGAGGAAAACAAAGACGCTGGAGGAATTAATGGTGCAGAGGAGCTGTTGAGGGCCAAGGCACCCAGCCAACCCCAGGACTGGGCTAGATGATCTTGATAGTCCCCGAGCAGTAATTTTACAAGGATATTTTTAGAAATCCAGTCCTCCTCTTCCCGCACAAAAGCGTTCCAACTGAATATGGGGATGTCCTTTTTTCTAAAGCAAATTTATTTCTGTTCCAAATATTTTAGCCGGCTCTAATCGCTATAACGGAAGATGATCTTTCACTTTTATTGGCCAAAGGCGCCAACTCGGATGGGAAGTGCTACGCAACTGTGGAGCAATTAGAGCAGAATGCCGCAGCAGCAGCAAACACCAGGCTGCGGGGACGGGGATCACATGGCAAGCATGAGGGGCCCCCCCATTCAGCTCAGGTCTGGCCTCGTCTCCCCTCTTTTCCTGATGGGTTACCTGGAGGGGAAGAGGCAGGGCTATTTCTGGGCAAGAACGCACAGGAACAGAGTTCCGGCTGGCTCCCGAGTTGGCCACGCCCAGCAGGGACTCATTAGCATAATAGGCCACACCCAACATCAGAAATGCATTGGTATTGGCTACATTAGGGGGGGTGTGGCCTAACATGCCAAGGAGTTCCTGCTACAAAAAAGCCTTGGGTTTTGACAACAAACAAATTAAACAGAATAAGAAGCAAAAGGTGGGTGTGGCTGGATGACCACACTTCTGGTAACATGGGGGTGCGGCCTAATGTGCTAATGAGCTGTGCTGTCAGGGGTGTGGCCTAATATGCTAATGAGTTTCTGCTGTTGGGTGTGGCCTATTATGCTAATGAGTTCCTGCTGGGCTTTTTCTACAAAAAAAGCCCCTGGGAAGAGGTGGCTGAGCGAGCAGGCAGGGTGTCAGAACCCACAGCTTAC